ATGGGGATGGCCGACGCCTTCAAATTCCTCCAGCGGGTGCGTGAGAAGATAGGGGCGGAGAATGAGGAGAAGTACAACGAGTTCTTGGACGTGCTCCGGGGCTACGAGGAGAAGGAGATCGTCCCGGCGGAGGCGACGCGGCGGGTAGAGGCGTTACTGGGCGGGGACACGGAGCTGTGGGAGGAATTCAAGGGATTTCTCCCGGACGTGGGGAGGCGCGAGGAGGAGGACGAGGACGAGGACGAGGAGGATGACGAGGGGCAAGAGGAGGAGGAGGAGGAGGAGGGGAGGGAGGAGGTGGAGTCGTTGCTGGTGAAGGTGCGTGCTTTCTTCGCAAAACGTCCCACGGAAGGGACGCGGCTGGTGGAAGCGTTGGAGGGGGCGATGAATGTGGAAGGGGGCCAGGGAGGTTCAGGGTCGGACCGGAAGAAGAAATGGGAGGAGACGAAAGAGAGGGTCATGCAAGTGGCCAGGGAGGTGCTGAAGGAGGAGGGGGAGGAAAGTGGGATGCGAAAGGAGTTGGAGGAATGGATGGCGGGGAAGGAGGGGGAGAAAACGAAGGAGGTCGGGTCGGGGGACCAAGCGGGTGGTGTGGTGGAGGGAGCGGTTCGAGGCGGAGGAGGGGAAAGAGCAGAGGCCAGGGGGAAGGAAGGGGGAATGGACGTTGAAAAAGGAGGGCAGGCGGGAGGGGAAGGTGGGAGGGGGACAGGAGGGGGAAGAAGAGACGGGAAGGAGGAAGAGGAGGTTGGGAGGGGCGAGGGAGGAGCAGGGAAAGGGACAGAGAAAGAAAATTCCCCGAGGGGGAAGAAGCGGAAAGCAGGAGAGGGCGACGAGGGGGAGGAGGAGGTAGAGGAGGAAGAGGAAGGGGAGGAAGAGGAGCTTGTGATCATGGACGAGGACATGACGGACGACGAGGAAGGGAAAGAGGAGGGGGGAGAGAAGAACGCCGGGAAGGGAGCGGAGAAGGAGGAGGAGGGAAAAGAGGGAGAGCTAGGGGGAGGGAAGGGCGCGGAGGAGGATGGGGGAGAAGGCGACCCGGGAATAGGGCCCAAAGAAAGTCGCAAGAAAGAGGCTTCGGGAGGCGAGGCATCAGGGGACAAGGTCGATCCGAAGGGGAAAGGGAAAAGGGAGGAAGAAGGAGGGCGGGAAGGAGGGCGGGACGGAGGGCGGGAAGGAGGGGCAGAGGAAACGGGGGAGGAGGAGACTTCCGGGGCGGTGGGGACAGGGGAAGTACCCGCTCTGGGAAAGGAGGGAGGGAGGGAAGAAGGAGGTGAAGAGGGCGGCGGGCCCGGTGGGGGCCATGAAGGAAATAGTCCCGGAGCAGTGAAGCCTAGCCCGCCCACGTCCACTCCACGCTCTTCTCCTCCCTCGGTCAGTCCCTCCTCGGGCCCTCGGAAACGGAGTTTGGCGGAGGTGATGGGGAAGGAAGGGGCGGTGGAGGTGATGGGAAAGGAAGAGGCGGGGCCAGTGGACGGGGAGGGCCGAAGCAGCAACCACACGGGCCTCGGACAGGACAAGGCCTCGAGCCCCGTGCAAGGCAACCTCCTGAAGGGAGGAGGGAGCGACGAGGGCGGGAAGGAGGGCGGGCAGGAGGGCGGGCAGGAGGGCGGGAAGGAATGCCTGTCTAGGGCGGACGCAAGTCCATCGGGCTTGTAGGAGGGAGAGATGCTAAGGCGCCGGGTGGAAGGCTCGCTCGGTGGGATGGAGGCGCGGGAAGGGGAGGGATGGAATTCTGCGGGCGAGATCCGGACCTTAAAGGGGGGAACCAGGGCGTGGGTGGGCCAGAGAGCCGCGTGGGGATGGGTGGACTTTCCCAAGGTTGCTGGTGGGGAGAAAGCGACCCGGAGGCTCGCCGTGCGCGCGTGGCGTTGATGCATGGGGCATGGGGAAGAAAGCAAGAGGGAAAAGACACGATCGACAGCCGAACGCTTCCCC